AATCCATTCAGCCACTCTATATCTTATAATTGAAGAATTTAGTCTATTTACATTTGAAGTAATTACTGATAAAATATGTAACCATTGCCATTTTGTTAATTGATTTCTGGATGTTTTGTAATATCTTCGTTCCTTTCTTCTTTTGCTTTCTTTGTGATTTGGTGGTGTTCTGTAGTGGTATGCTTAGATTTCTCATTGTCTCTTGTGTATCTACTTGTGTATAGGTTTTTGCATTGTGGTTACCATAAGGTTTACATAAAATAGCTTATATCTGTAACAATCTATTTTAAGTTGACAACAACTTTAATTTGAACATTTCCTGAAGCTCTGCATATTTAGTCCTCCCCCCATAATTTGTTTTGACGTCCCAATTTCCATCTTTTTAGCTTGTATATACAGTAACAATTATTGTGGTTATAATTATTTTTATTACTTTTGCCTTTTAACATTCAAACTAACTTTATAAGTGATTAATCTATCACCTTACAATATTACATTATTCTGAATTTTAATATATATTTACCTTCACCAGTGAGATTTGTACTTTTCTGCGTTTTCCTATTACTATTAGTGCCCTTTTGCTTCAGCTTAAAGGATTTCCTTTAACATTTCTTGCAAAGGCCCATCTAGTAGTGATGAGTTCCTTTAGCTTACATTTATCCAGGAAATTGGCTCTCCTTCAATTCAGAAGGAAAAGTTTGCTGGATGAAGTATTCTTGGTTGGCAGGTTTTTTGGGTTTTCAGTTTTTTTTTTGTTTTTTCTTTCAGTAGTTTGAATATATCATGCTACTGCTTCTGGCCTACAAAGTTTTGGCTGAAAATTTGCTGCTAGTCCTATGGGGGTTCCCTTGTATGTAGTAAGTTGTTTGCTCTTGTTTGTAAGATTGTCTCCTTGTCTTTAACTTTTGCTACTTTAATTATAATGTGTGGGTCTCTTTGGATTCATCTTTTTTGGAACCATCTTTCCTTCCCCAGGTTAGGACAGTTTTTAGCCACTGTTTCTTCAAATAAGTTTTCTGTCCCTTTCTTCTCACTCATCTCCTTTGGGATCACTATAATGTGAATGTTGTCCACTTCAGATTGTCCCATAAATCCCTTAAGCAGTCTTCACTCTTTCATCCTTGTTTGTTGCTCTAATTACAGGAGTTCCATTGCCCTATCTCTGAGTTCACTGATCCTTTATTCTGCATTATCTAGTCTTCTATTGAGCCCTTCTATTGTATTTTCAGTACAATTACTGTATTCTTCGGCTCTGTGACTTCTGTTTTGTACTTTCTTGTGTTTTCTATCTCTTTGCGAAACTTACTTTATTCATCCAATCTTCTTTGAGCTCAGTGAGCTACCTTATGACCATTATTTTGAGCTCTATCAGGTAAATCTCTTATCTCCATTTTATTAAATTCTTTACTGAGGTTCTATCTTTTTTTTAAATTTGAAATATACTCCTATTTCTTCATTTTCCTTGACTCTCTGTATGGGTTATGCATTTGTATGCATTAGATGAAACAGCCACCTCCCCCAGTCTTGAAGGAGCGGTCTTCTGTAGGAGATGAATATTATCATTCAACTCTGCCCTAGCCCTTTGGCCTCTGAAATCCTTATTATTGTCCAAGCAGCCTACTTTGGTTTTAGTGGATCCCAGTAGTTGAGGGTATACCAAATCCACTGTCCAAAGGGGAAGATCTTAGTCAGCACCTAGATTCTGGCTGATTAGAAGCCAGCTCCTCAGGTAGCAACTCTTAAAATATGAAATGTACCTCTTTTAAGGGAAGACTAGGATATGGGCGTTTCTGTCTCCTCTCTCTTTGCCAAGGCCTGGAGTGATAGATAAAAGCCATTTCTCATTTAGCTACTGTACTGTGGAACCCATAAACATAACCACCGCTGGCCACCAAAGCTGGGATTTCAAGGGCTTGCTCTCTAAGCAGCAGACACAATCTGGGACCCAGATTTATACACAAGCTCCTTTCTAGAAGACACCAATAACCTGAGGTATAGCAAATG